AAAAGCATTCGTCACTAACGCACATTCTTCAGAAACAGATAATACCGCTTTTTATCGGCAGATTGAGGAAGTCGCATCAATCAAATTTCTAACTTTAACTCTGATGATTGTTACGAAAAAAGAAAATAGTCTGATTAAATACAGATACGTGTAAATAAGTACGGATGTGACATGCAGATTAAGTAAAATCGTTTTTTATGAGAAATATTTCGAGGGTGTCTTACGTGAATAAAATATTTCATTCTACACCGCACTCGTTTATTGATCTTTTATTAGGGTGGTATTCGAGCAGTGGTTTGGACAGACGCATTACAAGTCGGCGTGATGATAGCAGCAGTTATCACAGTTGCTTCTCTAGGAACCTATCAAATGGGAGCGTCTGAAATTTGGAATAGAGCTATCGATGCCAACCGTATCGAATTTTTTAAGTAAGAATTCGAAGAATGCCATCGAAATTATATTGCGCAAACATACCGAATATTCACTCGTATTCTTTTACTTATTGTGTAGTTTTGATTCGTCGCCCTACACGAGACACACCTTTTGGACAGTACTGATTGGTTCTTGGTTATATAACACCTCGTATATCGCTGTCAATCAAACTATGGTGCAACGATACATATCGTTAAGAAGTACAAAGATATCTCAAATGTGAGTACATCGATTACTTTAGCAACTTTCAATCATAGTAATTTTGTTGTGAAATGAAAACAGATGATAAAGAATATAAATGTTATATTATATATAAATATTATACATATATGTATGTTTAATTATCTATATCTATCTCATAATAGCTATATCCTATAATACAATTTATAACATAACATTATTGCAATTAAAAGTTAATACGTCACAATACTATAAACAATGTTATTATACATATATATTTTTTTATAGAATAAATAGAAATAATACAACGCTCATCATTCATCATTTTAGTTTCTGTCTTTGTCTTGGACTGCCGATAAAGTTCGTGAAAGATAATTTCTTTTGATTGTTATGCAAATTACGTGAACAATTCGGAAAAATACTCTAAAAAAGAATACCAAATAAATCGTACATTCACTCGGCGTGTGTGTGTGTGTGTGTGCACATCGCTCAAATATATATCTATATTAATATAGTCAATGTTGCAAATCTTTACATATCCTAATTACAGATCCATTGCGATATTTACCATCAGCATAATGGTGTTTATTTCAATATGCTGTTGGTGTGGATTAGTCCTTCTCGCTTGGTGGTCGCCACCGAAATGTGATCCAAGAGTTTCTGGCTTAATTACGGCCGATGATCAATTGTTGCCGGCTTATGTCATGGAAATTGCTCATCATTTACATGGGGTACCTGGCCTCTTTATTTCCGGAATTTTTGGCGCAGCACTTAGGTATCACAAATCAAATTAATATAAATATAAGTAAATTGTCTATATGAGTAGCTTCCGCGATTGTTAGTTGGGGAGGGGGCTAGGGCTAGTCTCCTAAAAAAATTTGTTTAACTAAACGAAAGGCTGAGCGCAAAAATTTTTTTTTTACGCATTTTACGAACGCATAAATAGCGCATTATCATATAATTTATTCATTAAGATTTGGTTAAGTGGGAGAGGGGAGGCAGCTAGGTAGACATTATATTTACGGAGTGATAAGATATAATTTCTAAATAAACGAAATGTAGGACTTATAAAGTTAAGATATGCAGTTAATTTCGTTATTGTGCATTTTACTTGTTTGTAAGCTTTATCTTCTTAAGCCCACTTCAGACGATAATTCGCAACCAAATTCGCGACAGAATTCTATTTATAATATTGCATGTCGTAACATAAAAAAACATTTTAAGGAGTAAAATACACACATATAGAAAAATATACATCAATGATATATATTTTCCATATGTATTATCTATATGTATCAATAAATATATTTTCTATATGTACGTATTTTATTTTTTGAATTGTTTTCTATGTTTATTTTTATTTCAATATATGTAATTAAGTAAGATATAATATTCATTTGCTGGTACGTCTTTGCCTCAATCAACATATTTCGATCAACGTTATTTATGGAAAGGATGGTTTTCTTAAAAATCAATTTTATTTAATAAAATAAAACGGGCAATTTTTTTATGCGCCAAATCGATAGCAAATAAATAAAATAATTTATTATCTTTATCAAATTTCTCTGTACTTACAATTTAAATAAAAAAATAAAGTTCAGTTATTTGTTGTTTAGTTTAGCTGACGTGAACCATTTGACCGAATGAGAAAATTAGCAATTTTGATGCTCATGATGTTTAGTTGTTGATCTGTCGCGAGTAAATATGAAAATTGTCCTTTTTTCGCAGTTCATTATCAGTAGGCTTCAACTCGACGTCCGTTGTGATTCTGGAGGACTTCGTTAAAGGATGCTTTAAAATGAAGCCCAACGATCGTTGTTCCACGATTTTCGTGAAAATCCTTATCGTCCTGTTTGGTATGATGGCGCTGTGCTTGCTTTTCTTGATCGAGAAATTAGGTGGAGTTCTATCTGTGAGTGTTCAGTGTTATCATTTCAGTATAATCTATATTAAGATATCAAAATGCTATAAATTTTTACTACTGCAATTTAGGTGACAGGTAGTTTAGCCGCTATCGCTGCCGGAACTTCCTTTGGCGTCTTCACTCTGGGTATCTTGTGTCCGTGGGCAAATTCCAAGGTATAGATTAAAATGTGATCAACTCCCAGATGGATAAATTATTTTCCAAACAAAATCTAACAATAAAAAAACTATTGTTCCGTGTCATATCTGTTTTGTGCAGGGTGCCTTTGTTGGTACTATTGCAGGATACATTATGTCTGGATGGGTCAGTTTTGGTGCGAATGCAGCCATTGGTTCTGGTCTCATAGTGCCAAAGAAACTTCCAGTGCCACAGTGCGAGGGAAATGTGAGCGAAAATTTCTTAAAGCAATTTGAATGGCACAAGTGAGTCGTTACTTTTATTTAATTTGGATGGAATTAATCTTGGTTCTAATTAACAAACGCATACATTGTACACAGCGAAGACAATGTCTTCCCGTTATATCGGTTGTCTTACCACTGGATTGCTCCTATTGGCACGTTGGCGGTACTTGTGGTAGGTGCGATTGTCACCTGTATGACAGGTGCGCAAAATCCTTCATCGATCGACAAGAATTTGCTCTCTCCAGTGATACATAGGTAATCAACTCGTTTAGAAACTTTTGCTACAACTTTTATCACAACGAAAAAAAACATCACTCTTAATTTACAGGTGGTTACCAAAACAAAAATGTTCACGAGAGGTAGATGGATGTATACCCGTATCGACCGATTTGCAACTATCAGCGAATTTATTATTCGGCTCTTCGCCAAAAATCACAACCTAATTAGCAATGACGTTCTATAGAAAACATAATAAATTGTTTTCGCAAATATATCAACCGATAGATATATATTGAACTGGCAGTTAGAAGATTTTAAAGTACTTATTATTTTTATAGCTAATTTTTCCTTTTTTTCAAAGTATATATTTATAAACATTTATATATAAAATGGATTCCTGATTATCAAAATAACGTGTTTCAATTTTGAACAATGGACCAATTGAATTTAATGTACGTAATTAAATTATATATATAAAAAAATTTCGAAACGACTCTCAATCTTTAAAATAAAAATAAACAATCAATTCAAAACTAATGAGAGTCGAAGCAGATGGAGGTGCTGAACGCGATATAATTACAAAACGTTAATTACTTTCAGTTACACAGAATCTTTTTTATTTTTGAACGTTTCGGCTCTCTTTGGAGACCTCTCTTTAGCGAAATTATTATACATATCCTAACTCATTTTTTCATTGAATGATCATATTTCTATTAATCGAA